ACATTTCCATGCAGAAGTGCTTACAGGTTTCCGTGGCCCATCCAGTTCAGATGGTATGGTTTCTTTTAGTGCCTGGGTATACTCTAGAGCTGTAGTTTCTGTGTGTATTTACTGCAAATCTGCATCTTTGAAACTTTTTTCAAATAGACAAGATAGAGAACACCTACTCCAAGAATTCTATTGTATTGTAGGTATCATATCTGTAGCCATTTGCATGAACACCTTGGCCAGACCTGCATTTCAGACTCTCTTCTGGCAGGATCTATAAAGTCATTACAGTGTGCTTCTGATATGAAGAAAGGATGTTGGGCAGGCAGCCTTGGCTCACTGAAACACTGCAGCAGTGCAGCCCAGTACAGTTTGACTGTGTCCTTATGCAGTGGCTGAACAGCCTTTCAACATTCTTCTGTGCTGCAGCGAGTGCCACCCTCCTGCATCTGCAGTACAGGCACTCAGCTCACGTGTCATGCTCTGACAGAGACAGCAGCGTGGCTCTGGTGGCAAATAGAGGAGAGAACAGTCACTGGCTGGGGAGGTGGCCCAGTGAGCGGTGCCTGAGCAGGCAGCCTGTTTTTACAGGCTAAGGTTCCTCTGCATACTGTCCCTATAAGATTATAGGCATCTCCTCCTGCAGCAGTACGTGCATGTGAGAACATTTGCTGACAGCACACAGTTTATCTCAACACTTTTCATTTTCTGGAGGTGAATGATGGCATTGCAGTGGAATGTGCTTGATTCTTTGGTCAGGGATGGTGTCGTTCTATGATGGAAAGCATCTTCCCTCACTGCTTTTGACCCTTGGGCACTTCTGCTTCTGCCTACCTTGTAACCAGTACAATTGCTTTTACAGCCACACTGTGAACTCCAGCAAAGAATTGTTGTGGCTGAACTTCCTTTCATCTGGAGATGTTCTTCTCAGCCTGTTAGTGTCTAGTTCCCCAAGCCAGGGCCAGGGGATACACGTGTCCTGGTAGGAGTGACTGCCATAGGAAATGTGACACTTCTAGTTTATCATGTATTGCGATTTCAACTAATGCCTTAGATTGCTATAATGAATTTCATCAGTTTTAACTGCATTGTGGAGTACTTCAAATGTAGATGTTTTGGGGTTTGCCTCCTTCCCTCTCTTCTCCTATTGTGTGGTGCTTTCCTGCCCGTTCTGTTTCAGATACACCAGTCTTGCCAGTACCGAATCAGATTAGCTCATGGATGCAACAGAAAGTAACAACTCAGTGTTTTCTTTTGCATCAATGAATTAATACAACTTGTTATTTGGTTCAGTGATCACAAGGCAGGAAAGGAGAGCAATCACATGTTTTAAGTAGTATTCTGCAATTAGCTGTAAGGGAGAAAATCCTGTCTCTGTGTTAGAGCTGAGGACTCCTCAGCGTGGGGGGATCACGACCTGTCTTATTTTGAACTGCAGTGAGATATTTATTACAGTGGTTGTTGTTGTTATTTGACCTGTTTAGAGGTGAAATTCTTTTTCTGTGACTACAGAAAAGCAAGGTAAGATTCCATGGTTTGCAGGGAGCAGGTTTTAATGTTTTACCCAGAGGAACAACACAGTTGTTATGTTTGAATTAGCGAAGATTTTTCTAAAGAAAGTAAATTCTTTTGGAAACATTACCACTAATGCAGTTATTTTCAGACAGGTTTGTTAGTACACAGTCTTTTGTGTTGCTGGGAGTTCTGTGTTCCAGTCTTATTAACTTTTTGACTTCTGTAACTGCAGTCTTCCTACCTACTAACAAACAGCAAGAGTCCTGAAGTCCTTCCTTTTGTCTGTGGTTTTTTTTTTTTTTTGTAACAGGCTACCATGAGTTCTTTGCTTAAGCATTTACCTTTTTCCCCAAAAGTTCATGTAATCTGCTGTTGTTGATAGATTAGAAGTCTGTCTCACTGGCTTTTTTGAAATTTCTTGCCTTTTGTTCTCTCTCAATCTTTGCTGTTCTGACAGCACCACAAGCTCAGAAATGTACTCCAACATTTTTATTGAAACTGAATCTAAAACTCTGTCCTCCCATAAGGTTTTGATAATACCTGGATTAGAGTAAACTGATTTTATCTCCAAACAGTATTTACTAATACTCTGAAGTGACAGTAGTTTAACATTTTGGTTTTGTGAAGCTTTTAACGTGTATTTATATAGTATTTTCAATTTTTAGAAAGGCCTTGACTTTTTTTGTGTGTGTAGTTGTTTTTATTGCTTAATTTTGTTAATCTGATATGCTTCTAACAGTCAATAAAAATGGATTGTGAGCACTAAAATGACTATAATAAGATGAGTCATTAAAAAACCCCGACACCCTGCATTTGAACTGTTTGGAAAGAGCTTTCTTTGTGAAAAGATTATCAGGGATGGAAAGGTTCTGCTAAATCACAAAAATAGACCTACAAGGCTGAAATGTTATTATTTTACTGAGTGGTGCTATTAATCATCCTGATTTAGGGAATAAAAGCATAAACAGGGTCTGAGTAACTGTAAGGTTGCTCTGTTAATGTGTGTTTGATGGTAGATACAACCAGCCTCCTGCTGCCTTCTCTTCTCAGTGTTTTTGGCACTTCTTTTCTTCTGCCTGCTGTACCTGTCTGGCTGTCAAAATAATAAATATTTTCCCTGAAAAGTCCTACCCCTTTTCCTGTCTCTGCCTAATCCGTCTCCGTGAGCATTCTGCAGTCCACCGTGGGACAGTGGTTCGAGTACCTCACTCGAGAGAGTTACTGGAAGAGCACTGGAGGATTATTCCAGGGCTGCTGACAGCAGTCACCTGAGGCTGCAGCACGTGCTGATGCCAAGTGCTGGCCTCTCCCTTTGGAGTGCAGGGTTGCCAGAGGCTAATAAGGCATGTCCAGGCCTCGATTAGGTTTTGGTGTGGCAATAATCCATTAGGAAGCTGGGTTGATATCAGGGATCTCTGGGAGCTTCTGTGATCCTCCCTTAAATAACTTAGTGTTTAGCAGCTGTTGTGCTGAGGAGGAGAGATTCACTTGCAGAATAGGGGGGGATTAAAAACTCGAAGCCTACATGATATAGGTTGTTTTGTTTCTATTCAAACTCCAGGTAACAGGAAAATTTGGATTATAAATAGAAAGCTTAACAGTGGGAGTAATATAATATAGATCATTTGTACACGTGAGTGAATGACCTTCATAGTGAACCTATGAGTCATTCCAGTGAGAATAAATTGGACTACAAAACAATTAACTGCAGTGGGTTTATTTGCTAGTTGATACGCTAGGCTGACAAAATGGCCTTTTTTAAAATCTGGCATAGTGTTTGTTTTGGAAATTATAATAATTCCTATATTTCCATGCCAAATTGTTGATTTAATTTCTATAAAAATAGTAGTGGGTCATCTTCATATTGTCCATGTTTTGCATGGACAAAAATAAAAAAGAAACTACAAACCAAAAAGTCTGAGGTAGAAAAAAAATCTTACACTTGCTTGTCTAGGGTATGTAAGATAAACGTTTGGTCCCGTGTTGTTTCAATAACTGTGGGAGCTAGGGGAGGGATAGGATTATTTTCTAACTGGTTTAGGCATTGTTATGTCTTGGCTGATGGGTGTGTATGTCTGACCCTCAGTGGCTGCCTTTGTTCAGCGTAAATACATTGTGACATTTCACCTTTAAGTAATTGCACATAAACCAGATGATAACTTATATATTTTTATTATCTACTGATTACTTAATGATGCATAATGCATATTGCATTAACTTGGAGATTTGTCATAAATAAGCTTGGATTTTTGTGGGGGTACCTGAGGTGGAATAAATACTGCATTTCTGACCTTTGCTTTGTCAGTTGTGGTTCTGAACAGTCACGCAGCTACAAATCTTTCCTTGTTTTCATACTGGTATTACTGCCATCACCAGGGTCTGCATTTTCTGAGCTTATTCTGAGCAGTGTTTCAGACTGTTACCTTTCAATATTGAGTCTCTACTTGCAGAACTCGTTGTAAAATCACGGGTACTGTAGAACACTGATTCTAGGAGAGCTGAGATTGATGAAGAGTAGTTGTAGCTACTAAACTTCTCTGGTTTTAATGCAAGTATTATGTTTATTGAGTATCTGGTTTATGAGTGTAGTTTTTTAGGTTGTTCTTTGTCTCAAGAGAACTAGAAAAATGCAGTTTTTGGATAATTCTACTAATAATTATTTTTCCTTTTTTCAGGAAAATGTGATAAAGTAAATAAAGATTACTTGTATAGGTGTCTGATGTTGTGTCCTGTAGCACCTCCTCCGCCTTTTTTTTTTTTTTCTTTTCTTTGAAAGAGACTATTGTCTTCCTTCTGGGAATGGAACAACAGCTGTTCTGAGTGACATAACACTGGAACTTGAATTTGAAATAGCATTTTGTCCATGACCCCCTTTCTCTGTTTTTCCCCTCTTTCTCCTGCTTGGTACGGACTGAATGCCTCTTTGGGATACCTTGTGTAAACCTCTGTACTTTGCTGCCTAAATGTGCATCAGAATACGTGTTTGAAGTATCTAATGTGGCAAGTGCTAAAATTAACACTTGGAACACTTCAGGATTATGAGTCATCAATCCCTGGCTGCTGCTTTTATATTTCAATAATTAATATAACCTATCTGGAAGTTACTTTTCAGAGACCTATCATGGTGATCCACAATCAATCTTGAATAAAAATAAGCGAGAAAATTCAGGTAGCTGCGTGCTATATTTTACATTAGGTGTACTGATTTTTAATGCCAAACAGCTAAAATAAGGAAATCAACTACTTTTTATATATAAAATATTTTTAGGTCCAAAAGTGAAACAGAATTTAGTCCAGAAGGATCATAGGCATTACTTTTGGGGGACTGTTAGTTCAGTAGCATCAAATATTTCAAAGGAAGAATTTTATCTGTAACAAGAAATGTTTGGGGTTTTTTTGGGTTTTTGTTTTTTTTTTTTTAATAAAGAATCCCTAATGATTAAATACAGAATCACTCAGTAATGCTAACCTCTTAAATGTTGTCTTCTGTTTTGTAGAAGACCCTTTTGAGGACTTCTTTGGGGGCAGACGGGGTCCAAGGGGAAGCAGAAGCAGAGGTGGTGGATCATTTTTCTCTGCCTTTGGAGGATTCCCTACTTTTGGAAGTGGTTTTACTCCATTTGACGCAGGTAAATATCACAACAGTTAAGAAGGAACGTGGGTTTGGTTCACAAAGGATTGCAGTATAATAAATTGCCTTCTCCATTCAGGAAATTTCTGGGGCTGTGGTTTTTTAAATTAAACTCTCTCTGTAAGGTGTGAATGTAAATAAAACTGTTTGGGCTACCTGAAAGTTCATGTAATGTGAACAGACCTCGAAGAAGTAATACTTTCTGTGTTTGTTATTTTGGTGCTACAGTTTCTTTATAGCTTTAGAATTGCTTTTGTTCTGTTTGCTTTTAGGTGTTGGGAGTGTGATGGCTTTTAGATCCTGAAAATACACCGAAAAAATGTGTGCCTGAACCCCATGGTACTACTTAGCCTGGGGTGGCCAGTTTGAATGCTGACCTGGGTATCAAGGGGTTGCTGAGAGCTGCTGGCAGTCAGCATCCTTTAGGGTGAATCTAAGTGTTAAGATTCTGGGTATTATTTGGGGTGTTACTGATATAAGACTAGTTCTGTCTGCCAGCTCAGGGCATCCCAACACCTGCATTAAAGCAGATAATCAGATTCATTAGAGTTGCTGCCTTTACCACCCTGAGTGGAGAGAAAGGGGAATGGTTGAGTTCAGCAGACAAGCTTGAATGCCTTTTCAGGGGAAGAGTTGACAAATGGTTTTTGGACAATGCTGTGCATTTGGAACTTGACCTGTGGGTCCATATGAGAGAAATAGATGGGGCCAGAGTCAGGTTTTTATTCTCACACTGATGTATAATAACATCTAGTCACTGCTGCTGTGTTGATGCAACCGAGGGCATCCTGAAACTAGGATGTAGTCTGAAGGGATGAGAAATTTGGATCCCACAGTCATGCAAAAATACATTTTTAGTCAAATGCCTTCTTTTCCAATAGGTTTTACTTCGTTTGGTTCTCTGGGACATGGGGGCATTACTTCGTCGTTCTCCTCTTCGTCATTTGGTGGTGGCGGGATGGGCAACTTCAAATCAGTATCAACCTCAACTAAAATAGTTAATGGCAGAAAAATTACTACAAAGAGGTAAGAGATATAAATATATTTCTATGCAACTATATGCAGAGACTTAAATAGCTATAATTACATGCGTATAAATATACTATATCTTTGCACGCATACATCTAGTGATACATGTATTTTTTTTTATTTTTGTTGTTCTGTTCATTATATTACTTGGATTTCTTTGCTTGAAAACATTTTGAAATGCTGTATTGGATTCTCTCACTCTTCTTGGCATTATTGAGTTGCTTAACGCTGTAGCTGGAGGTCTTATAGGCCTTCAGAACATCCTGTGTAGTGCTGCATCTTTTATTGTGGTCCTTGTCTACTGTCTGCCCAGTCACCTTGAACTTCTGGAAGGTTTCTGCTGATTGTGAAGCTTTTAGCTGGGGTTTGGGAGGACTTTTAATTTTAAAGACATTATGAAAGAGTTTTTCCTGACATCTGCTCTAGTTTGCTTTCATTGGTAGTGTTTGAGTGAAGTCTTTGTAGTAATTTTCTTCTGTCTGTTAAGTGAAATAAGCAACTGAAGCTTGCTTTGGAGAAAAATGTTCCTGTTTGTTGGAAAATGAACTTTCAAGTATTAATAACACAGTGTAGCTTCTGGCTATTTCGTGCTTGTGATGGGGCAATCATTGCATTTGGCAAACCCGAATCTTTTTAGCTATAGAATAACCTAAATGGAACATCATGATCAGTAAATTATAGGAGTACTGAACAAGTAGTTAAATGTAATTTTAGTACTTAATAAAAAGTCATGGAAAAGCAAGGAAGGGCAATTTTTTTTTTTTGTCTGGTAACTTGTGTCCCATATTTTAAAGTGCAAGGCTCTTCTGTGTCCTGTTGTACTGAAGAGATCCTGTCATCTTGACCACTTGAAAGCAGCCTCTGTCATCACATGCTGGTGTGGTCATATTTTTCTGTGAGTGTATTCCAGAAAAATCTGAAAACTGCCTCAAAAGTTTTGAGGGAGTTGTGCCATGTGAGAGAGACCAAAGAAAGTGTTTATGCAAAAGTTTGTTTTAACATTAAAAAATAGACTATATCAGGTATGCTGCTGTCATATCTTTGTTACCATATCTAGGAAGTGAGGGGAGAAGCAAGAAATGTGGTTAACCACGTCTAGGAAGACACAGTTACTATCTCTGAGAAATCCTCTTGCTTTGTGGACTATCTGCCCACAAAGCAGCTGAGTCTAAAGAAGATTCATATCCCAACATATCCAATGAAAATCTTCTCTGAGTAATATTTTGCTTCAGGCAAGAAGCTGTTCCCTCTGTTTTTAATATGGGTGTATTCTCTTGAACAAGTCTGATCTCCAGAAAGTTTTGTATTCATCTGTGTGGTTTCCTCATCTGAATCACAAGGGGAGAATTCCCAGATGGCTAAAATTTAGGCATAAATTAAGTATGATTAAAATAATTTAAACATTCCTTGTCTTCCCATTTCTAAAACAAAGAAGGATAAAAACCCCAAACCCACAAAGCTCTTTAATAATCCTTTTTTCCAATCAGGGATACTTGAATTTTGGACCATACATGATGGTCATAAACTTGATGTATAGGAGGTCTACAAATTACTTGCTCTGATAAAATGAAAAGTGGGTTAAAGACTCTCTAGCGTGCCTTACATCGTGCAAAATTGTGATTGTATCTAGAATATTATGCATTTAACAAACAGGTAGGGACTAAATGCAATGTCAAGATTGTGCAGTTGATCTGTCAAAATATTTAGTACTAGATAAGAGTATAGTGTAAGGACAACTGTGACAGTGTATGAGGTGGCAGCTGTAACTGTGGACTCTACAAACTGGAGGATTCCAGCTTCCAGAATGCCATTTTCCTGCTGTAAATAAGCAATATTGGTGAGAAAATGCAGATGGTTCCTGGCTGCAGCTCCTGCGCTGGTAAATACAAAAGCTTGACAACGGCAGTTGTGTTATAGTTATAGCTCTGTTATAGTTCCTTATCTAAAACCAAGGTCTGGTGTGTATTTGAAACTGCTTGCAGTGCTTTAAAATGCCTGATGGTGTTTTTGTCCTGCAGGATTATTGAGAATGGACAAGAGAGAGTAGAAGTTGAAGAAGATGGCCAGTTAAGGTCGCTAACAATAAATGGTAAGGAGCAGCTACGCTTGGATAACAAGTAATTCAACGCACGCATTTAACAGAAATTTTAAGCTATAACAGCCACCATTTGAGGATTGACAGGAACATTTTTTGAAGATTTCAAACGAATTCAACTTTCTGTATATCGGTACTCAATCTTAAGTAGTATAAGTAGCTCACGGAAGCTCGTATTTGTCATAGACTTTTGAGTTAATTGTTGGGACCACATCAATTGGACCATTTTTTGTCCTTAAAATTGTTGTAAACTTCTGTATGCACTTTTCTTTTCTTATCTGTGATCAAGGTGAACCATGATCCTTCAGTAGTGCTAGGGCGAGATGTACACTAACACTAGCATGAATCTTGCTTTTTCCAATTTGAAATGTGAGCCAATTAGTAGTTTTAAGTCTGCTGTGAAGTTAAAAGTTCCAGGATAACCTTTTTAATAATTTCAACTTTTTTTTTTTTTTTTTTAATGTTTAGTAGTGAACAATGTTAATACATTTCTGGTAATGCATTTCTGGTTTAAATAAATTAAGGATGTTTTCTAGTTGTGCATGAATGCAGACAACTTAGTAAGTTTTGACAAATGTTTAAATGTGTAATGTAAGCAAAAGGTAAACAAAAGTGAAGCCAGTGAGCTGAGTCTTTTGTCATTTGCTAAAAAAAAATTCAAAATGAATAAATGCTGATGTTTGTGGTGCATTCTTTCATGAATGGCATTTGTAACCTTCTTGTGTCTGTGTGTGATTTGGGCAACTTGGGAAAACGGTGCTTTTTTTTTTTTCCTTACCATCTTTTTCTTCAGTCTTAAGGATGAGGGCCTTTTTTCTTTGCAGATGTTTTCTCCAGTGTGACTGAAAACATGATTTTTAATTTCTTTTCTAAAGCTGTATTTGAAGCACTTATTTTTTTAGAAGCATTCAGGGGCTGACTCTCTAACTCCATCTTTTACCCTAGTATGCAAGTATTGTAGGTCTAGGCTTAAAAACGTTTTCTAAAGTTTTAAGTTCTGAGATTGCTTCAAAAAGTAATCCATACTGAACATAAATACACAGGAAATCAATAATAAGCCTCAAAAAGAGTCTTTCTGAATAAGATTCTTTGTCATTTTGTGATCAAATAATAATTACTTTGAAGATTTCTACTACATTATTGGCATTATAGTATCTCACTCTTATTTTTAGTCCTCAACCAAAAATCAAGAGGTGGATTAATGCCCTTTGTTAAATTAATGGAGTGAAGCAAAGTGTTCATTTGTAGCTAAAACCAGATTTTCAAAGTTTAGTGAAAGATGACTTGATTTCGGTGTGTCACTGAGAAAGCATGTGAGTAACTAATGGCACTTGTTAACAGCTGCCAGGCTCTGGGTAGTTCTGTGCATAAATCATGGATGTGCAGTTTTCATCTGTGCACCAGCTTTGAACATCTGGCTTTCACAAAACTCTTTAGGGTGGCTTAGTGTTTAAAAAAGACAAAAAAAAAAAAAGCATGGTGTTTTCAAATGATCACCTAATGCCTTCATGCTGAACACCATCTGCTTTATACTAACAAATGTGTGTTGATTATTAAATACATTGAAAAAGTTTGCTCTTGTTTTTTATGAAGGAAAACCATTTCAACTTAAGCCAAACCAACAAGCTAACAAACTGCTACAACAGAATACGTATTTGTAGCAAAGTTAGTATATTGTACTTTTGTCCCTCTACCATTAATGCTAATTTGATAGAGCCAAACAAAATAACATGTAGAAGAAGAAATAAATATGTGATTTGGTTTTGGGACTAAAGAAGTTATGTATCTTTCCAAGTTCTTCGCAGAGTTTCTGTTACTTCAGTGTTGTGTTTTTGATGTAGAAGCACAAACTCAGTTTAGAACTAAATAGTGTTTTCTTGTTAATGCTGTTTTTTCCTTCCCCATGTATGTTACTTCTTGATCCAGATAACTAAACAGGCAATTTATTTTAAAATCTGGCTTTGTTGTGATGTCTTGAGTTATTAAAAATGTTAATTTATATTTATAGGACACAGTGTGCTCCTTTAAATTATGTAAACTGTAAAAAGTGCTTCAAAATTGATTAACCAAGTCAAATAAAATTAGGACAATCTGGAGTTGAGTTTGAATGCCTTCTTGTGGATATCCATAGGTTTTACATTAAACTGCCAAACTTCACCTTCTAGTTTAATCCCAGGTCATCATCTTTAACATTTAAATTACGTCACTCAGGTTAAGAACACATTTAGGGTGGCACAGCTGCTGGTCTTAAATTGGTATCCACGTGCTTGTCTTAGATCTTCTTGCCTAGAAAAGTGTGGTCCTTCTCACAGTGTTACACACAAACAGGTCACACCAGGGTTCCAGGATGAAATCTTTGAGTGCTGTAAATGTGCTCAAGATCTGGTGCTTTTGGACAGCAAAGATCTGTTCTGCCCTTGGATCCCTGAAACTGGTTGTCAGAGCTGGACAAAACGCGGCACTAAAATGGCAGCGCTGCACTTTCTTGGTAGAAAGAGAAACTGTCAAAACACAAGGAATGAGTCAGCAGAAGGCACAATTAGGCAGTAGAGATTCCTGCAGTAGTGAGATACCCACACACCAGCCTTTGTATAGGCTGGGGGTTGATCTGGGTGGATATGTGGTCTTGGTCCAAGTATATCATTGGACTGGCAGTTCGAGTTCCAGATGTAAAAGACTCCTTTACACTTGACCTAAACCAAATGGTCTCCATCTCTTTCAGTACGCAGGAAATAAGTTGGTTTTTTGAAATAACACCACATCCAACTCCTTTTTTTGATGCAACTTATTGCATCCAGCTTCATTTTTAAAACACAAAATAAATTTGCATTCTGTTTATTGTCAAGTCATTTAAAATTCTTCCTAGTATGTATTATATATTCAGAATTTCTTCTGCTGAATTATTTTCTCTTGAAAACCCACTTACTACGTTGCTTTGAAAAAATTTTACGTTGTTCCTTTCTAATATGTAATTTGCATGGATATACAAGACCTGCTCACTAGAAGTGATGGATCATCAAGGACAGCAAATTTCCTTAAACTTCAGTTTTGGCCAAAATAGTACAAAATACTTAATAAAAGAAAAAGTTCTTAATTCTTGCAAATGCTAAGCATCAAATCTATGGTGGGATGAGGCAGCTTTCAAAACCAAGTGCTGTTGGATTAAAAGTGCCATTTCTTCACACATGAGGGGTTAATTTTGAATATTTAGGGACACTATCCTATTTAAATTGAGCTTCCTCCAGTTGTTTGGAAAAACTAAGATGGAGTTTTTGAACCTGCTAAGCCATTTACTCTTTCATGCTCTGCTTCAAAGTTCATTGGACACAATAACTTTGTAATGCTTTCTTCTGGTGCAACCTCTTTTTGATCCCTTGTGCATGGCAGTAATTTCAGTGCATTACACTAACTCAAGTTTCTCTTTGGATTGCATGGCACCTACCCCTTTCACTCAGCTTTACTGAACAAGTTTGGGAGTTTGCCTTAGAATGCTTCACATTTTAAAATGGCTGCAGCCCTTGATGTTCTCAGTTCTCACAGTACCTTCTTTGTTGAGAATCAGAGGCATTGTCCTGTGGTATAGGGGACAAAGCTGCTCTGCAGAGCACATGTACATAGCATTTGTAAGATGGATGTTGTATCAACTTGTGATTAACTGATCAACTGAGTGAGAATGCTGAAAACAAGACTGTAAAAGACTTAAAGACTTAAAAACGCATCATCTCTAAGCCCAAGGGTTTTGTATTTCTCTTGTCAGTGTTTGTGTTTGGCTGTTTTGTTTCTTTGCCTCCAGCGTTTTGGCGTCAGGTGTAACGAGGTTTGTCTTTTGTATTTAACGGTGGTGTGCTTCAGAACATCTCTGAGATGGTCCAGTGATAAAGTTATATTTTATTTTTTATTTTTGGAAATGTGAGTTTTATTAATTAATCTGTTTGTGTTCTGTTTGAGAAGTGAGCTAATCTGTTTGTGTTCTGTTTGAGAAGTGAGCTTTATTACCCGTTTTGCCTGAGTTTAATCTGTGGTGGTAACAGGATAGTGTTTCTAAAGGTGGTTGTGTTGCAAAGTGAATGCTGTAGCTGTCTGATGCTCATGGTCAGAGAATCTTTGAGATGTACTCAGTGTTAGTGCAAAGCTTTAACTTATTAATAGCATACTTGTTAACCTTTTTGTGGAAACATTTCTTAGGTCTTTTGGAAAACTTGCCTCTTTGGTTGTGATTTTTGGATGTCTTGGTGTTTAGGCTTATTTATAAGTCATGGTGTTCTCACAGGGTAGTGGCAATATGGACGTCTGTAATCTGCCAGTCAGCAGTAACCAAACTTTGAAACTTTGCCTTTTTGTAACATAAGAAAAGAAAGCTTGTTTGTACTGTCTGCTGCCTCTGGTCTTGTTTACTTTGGGATTGAATTGTGACCACAGCCTTGCTTGACATAGTACTCAAACAGTTTGGGTTTGTTGTTATTGCTTGTCTTCAAGTGGTTGTCTTAGGTACAGAACTTCTTAGCTTCCTCATGAAATGCTGAAATAGTCCGTTCGTTGCAAGTGTTGGAATGAAGCATGTTTACTTTGTGAGCATTGCAAACTATATCTTTTGAGTTTATAATTCTAGTGGGTTTATTTCTTGGTCTGCTTTGGTTTTGGAAAAAATGGCTAGAGTTGGTTGTTGAGTGAAGTGCACTCCTGAAAGGTTAGAGCGGAAGGTGGATGGTTTATACTCTGCTACACAGGTCATACCTTCACAAAACAGTGAACCTCACATTTGAGATGATGCCGTCAGATTAAAAAAAAAAAGAAATAATTAAAATCCCATGATGATCAGAGCCATACCCTGAACCTGTGCAAGCTGACTGCTGATTCACACTCACTGGAACTTCTCTGAAAACTCTTGTTCTGGCAGATTCAGTGCTGTGTGTTAGGTGTTATCTTACTTACAACAGCTGGTAGAAAGTTAATCAAAAACCCACACGAGTACCCTGTGCCCTGTCATGCTTACC